TATATATATATATATATATATATATATATATATATATATATATAGCGTTGGGTTCAAATGAGAATGATGCTTAGTGAAAGAAATGAGAATCATAGTTATTAGATTGAATGATCTAATAACTAAAAAAAATAAAAATTATACATTCATTAAGGGTAATGAGGTAATTTTCCACGCCACCACACACCCACTTAAACGTGGGTCCCACCAGACAAATCACATCACCTCTCTCTCTCTCTTTCTCTCTCTCTCATACACACACATAGGCACTCCACGTCACCAACAATACACATACAAACACACGCACCCACACGCACAACACACTCACTCACACACATGCACACACGGTTGCAGCACACACCCACGGCCACGCTGTCACAACTCAACTTCCGCCGGTGCCCGACCAAGAGCCACCACAACCACCGCTCAGTCCCTACCGCCGGCGAGCGTCCGCCGCCTTTCTCCCCGACCAGCTGACGGCGCCATCCTCACCACTCGTCGAGGCCCTCAAATGCACCATATGCATGGCGAAGCTCCGCCTCCGACCAAGGCTAAAATCGACGGGGAAAATGGAGCTTCGAGATCCGTCAATNAAAAAAGCATGTGAGAACTGGAGGCCCGAGACCCCACCGCCGGTGGTGGAAGTGGTGGCAGCCTTGGAAGAGGTGTCTCCGGTCAGAAACAGCAGGACCTGCCGGAAAAGAGTTTTTAATTTTTTTTTAAATTTGATAAACGATAGGGACTCAATTGCAAAATCATGAATGTTGAATATATTTTCAATTTTGTTCCTGGGTCTAATATGTAATTTTTTAAAAAAATAATGAATGTTGAACAAACAATATATATACATAAAAAAGGCCCATAATGATTCACAATATTCTTAGATGGGATGCACATTAGTGAATATCAAACTACACAATTGCAAATAAATTTATAATTGCAAAATAATGTTAATTAAAATACTCATTATTAAAGTTTTTAAAATTGAAATGCACAAGAAAAAAAGAACTTGATCATTTGACTGCACAATAATGTTAGACAAAATGGGATCAGAGGCGATGGAAAATTAAAACAAGAACATGAGGTTCTTACCGAGCTTTAAGGGAATATTTCCCAGTGCAAATGTAGCCGTTTTCCGGCGAAAGTTAACTTCTAGCGCTAAACTACTGATGTCGAAAATCGGACAATCAACTGTTAAATAAGAGTCGAATTTCTTGTAGGAAAAGGAAGAAGAAGATAATAAACATGTCTGTTCTCTTTTATATTTTTTGGAAGAATCTTCCTTTATATTTTGTTGTTGGGAGGAGGAAGATGAATAGTAAAATAATATTTTATTGTTGGAAGGAGGAAGATGAATAGTAAAATAGAAGGAAGTCTTCTTCTCTCTCCTCATGTTTACATATATATATAGGGAGTCCTTTGTTTATTTTTTAGTACCCCACATGGCCACTTAACAATATAATAATATTCTAGTACAATTATATTAAATATGATGTAATCGGCAGTTCACCACGATTTTTGACTGACGGATACGATTAACGACTTTCTTGTCTACAATCATCGGGTCGAGCGGAGCGGTTTATTGATGATATCTGTGTCATCCGATCTCTTTGACTTCCACTCGGTTCGGCAGCAGGTGGACTCGGCATCCGGGAACCCGTCGGCTTTTAGGTGATCAGTCTTTGGTACATGTTTGTATATTTATTTATCATGCTTCAGCTCCTTGGTTATCGGGCCGTTTCTTATTATTTCGTTTATCATTTAATTAACATGAACCAATGTGTTGTTATTAACAAATGTCTGATTTTATGGTATAAAGTATGCAATTTTATTTTGGTATAAAATGTCCGAATTTAAATGGTATGAATTTTATTTGTTATTGATAGAAGTGTATTTAGAAATTTTGAAACCAAAATAAATGGGTATGAATTTTATTTGTTATTGATAGAAGTGTATTTAAAAATTTTGAAAACAAAAATAAAGGGGTATGAATTTTATTTAGTATGAGTACGAATGACGAATTTTAGTTTGATTTGTTATAAAATCAAGGTGATATAGTTCTCAAATTTTAGCATGTTCCCATAATAACTTGTCATAAGATATTGATGATAATTCGGCAAATTGATATATATTTTTCTTGAAAATCAGAAAGATCTTTGAACACGTATTAGTTGATAAATTTGAATAATAAGGTAACTGACAACAAATCTACAAAATTGCGAGTCTACTTCTTAAAATGAGTACATAAGATTCGATCTTAGCCATTGATTTGTATACAAATCAATGGCTAAGATTTTCAGCCATTACAATTGATGTGTCCGTGAACTCTGTCTCATTCTCTCCCCTCTTGCTCTCTCTTATATCGCTGAAAATTATCCCTTCAAGAACCCGGATCGAGCTCGCCAGAAAATCAACCCTGGCACATCCAACTCATCGTCGCGGCGCTCCCGTAGTCGCCGTACATCCAACACAGGGATCAGGCGTCCGTCTACCCGTCCGCGGCACTCCTCAGGGCCGTCTCCAGAAATTTTGAGGCCCTAGACAAAATTTTCTATTTTGATATGTATTTGTATATAAATATTTATAAATTTTTAATAATTAGACAATCTTAGACATTATTAAAATAAATACACAAAGTATCATTCCGTATAAACATAATTAATAAAATCATATTTAAAAGTATATTCTTAATAATTTTTTAAATTACAAGAACTCACAAACTAGAGAACAATAAATTATCTATGATGTAGTTGCAGTCACTTGAGCAATTTCAATTTTAAATATAATTAATATTGATAGTAAAATGAAAATTAAAAATGGTCAAATTTATTTATTTGAGAAAATTTTAAATTGTGTTAACTTGTGTTCTATAATTTTTCATATGATGTAAATGGCAAAATTAAACAATATCATAAAACTTATATTAGTATTTTTAATACTAATATTTTAAAAACGGCCCCCTATGAATTGGGGCCCTAGGCTTGTTTGTGCCTTGGTGATAGGTCGAAAAATGTGCATGCTTTATATATTTAATGGTGTATTTTTATACGCTTAATTTATTCGCACATTTATATTTTTCTGACTTATTTATTATTTGGATGAATTCATATACATTAATATTTTTATGTTTATTTTCAGCATATTATATGGATGGCGAAACATAAACGTAATCGGCCAAAAGATTAAGGAATTGGGCCTAAAAGCGTGCACAGTTTAGCCCAATGGATGAGGATTGATTTTGGGCCCAAAGAAGATGCAAGATGCAGCAAGGGAATTAATTTGATTCCACTCACGCCACACAGGTGGGATTAAAGACTGGGAGCGTAATTATTTGCAAGGTCTCTACTCGTTAGTTTCGATTTAATTGGGCTAAGGGATTTAATTGGAATTCAATTTATGCATTAAGTTTGTGGAATCCTTAAGGGATTTAAGGGGCTGAAGTTTTATTTGAGAGGGGAGATCAAATACGCAGCCGACATTATATTGCGAGAGGCGAGGAGAATTATTTGAGAAGCAGACACGCAGAGAACAGAAAAGAGAAGAAAAAGCCAGCGGACATAAGGGGAAGCCAATCAATCGCGGAGGGAGACTGGGAGATAATATATCTCTCTTTTTTATTTATTTATTTTTTTTTTTATTATGTTATAGTAGGTTTTTATTTCTAGTTCTGGGAATGTCGAACACTACGACTTAATGATGTTTGATTGATTTTCGTGGTTGATTATTGAGTTATCTTTTTAGAATTGTTTGTGTTATTTTGAATAATTAACCATGAGGTGTTGAGTCTTATTTAGATTGATCGCCTAAATTAGGTTTTTCATATCTACAGTTGAATTAGACATTCAATCTGTAATTGTTATTATGTTTAATTCATTAGAGGCTGCCGGAAGACGGTAACTACCGGGGATAACACGTCCTATTTAAGTGAACGAACGCGGTTGAGTTCACTACTTAATCTAGTCTATTTTTCTAATTCGTAAAGCGACTACTCTTGAAAACGTTTTTCTGGACTGTACAAGAAGTCAGGTTTAATTGTAGAGCGTCTCGCGGTTAAATTAAAATTAAGGAAAAATTCGGGTAACAGACTGTTTCGTTGCCTAAGGCTAGTAATTTCATAAGATAGCGAGATTTGATACCAAAGTTGATTAGACGAGTTGGTCGAGGGTGTAAACGGAACAGTGAACCAGAAAGTTCTCTTCATTTTTATTTTTATTTTCATTGTTTAGATTTTATTTGCTTCATTAGGATTTTAGTTAGTTTAGTTATTAATTCAAAATCTCATCTCATTACTTTTATAATTTAATTAATACGAGAAAATTCACGATTTGATTCATACTCCTCGTGGGATCGACTCTTACTTGCCGCTACTACTAGTTAGTAGAGGTTAATTGAAGACAAATATAAATTATAATTTTGCCGCGTTGCGACGCGCGGTCACTTGGGCAATTGGCCCAAGAGCCGACCCTGGCGCTCCTGTAGCCGTCGTCCGTCCATCCATCTGCCGCAAGTCACGACTCACGACATATTGTTTTCGACGCACAGGGATTTGACCCGCTCCTCGAGGTGGTTTAGTCTAATTTTTCGATCTTCTCGACGCACATAATCTTCTTGATTTCTGTCTCTTTGGCTTTCAGTCGCTTCACGACAGTCTCATCCATTAGCGATCCGTATGGGACGGTGATCCCTGCTATGAACAGACCCCAAGCCCGGCGGGATGTCGGGGGTGTGACGGCAGGAATGAAATGGCTGAAAAGTTGGGATTTTGGGGAGGTGTTAATTTTGTAAATTTGGTAATTTTTTAGGATTTAGGTGCAATTTTAGAAACATAAGAAATATTGCATTTAGATCCTTAGGTTCTATATGTAATTTATTTATAACTTGAATAATTACAATACAGCCCTTGAGTTTTTATATTATAAAATTAATGCACATATAATTTATTATTCTGCATATTTAGAAATCCATAATGCATATGTTGGTTATAAATAATGCATATTTAATTGAGAATAAAAAATGCATATTATATTCATAATTCATAGTTAATTGAGGTCCAATCATAGTTATTTGTTTGTGTACATTAGATCAATTGAAATTTACATTAGTTATATAATAGAAAATATTAATTTTTATATTTAAATTAGTTATATAAAATACGAAATACATAATGTATATTTAATTCATACGAAATGCATTTTTGTTATATTTAAATTAAATATACAGTCCAGATCCAAGGAGGGAGAGGAAAAGGATTCACCAAGAACACACCGGAGGGCCGAGGCAAGGATCCAAGGAGGCCCTACCTGCTGCATCCCACAGTCGAGCGGCCCGGCCCGGCGAGCCAGCGGCCGGCGGGGCGCGGTCGAGCAGGACCTCCAAGATGATGAAAATGGCGCACAAGGCCTGGCCTCCGTCGACTCGGCGGACTCCCGCAACTGGGCCAGAAAATGGCAGCTGGCGACCCCTCCGGCGCTGGGGGAAGGTCGGGAGGGAAAACCACCGGTGGCCTCTTTGCCCATTGGGCTCCAGAAGAGGCGGAAAGGGGCATCCAGCAGCGACTCGACCAAGGCCGGTCCGGTGGCCATTTAGGACGACTTATCGGAAGAGGGGGGCGACGGATCTGAAGATATT